AATAATAATAATAATAATAATAATAACAACAAATTACACTGACAGAAAATCAACTCTGAAAAACTGAATGCTGATTTAATCTTAGAAGACTTAACACAATGCATGATACTATTACCTGTTTTAAAATCTTATCAGCTGTTTTTAACACTGATACTCTAGTGTTTTATTAAGAAAGTGAACTTCAAAATCATCTCAGCTTAAAGCACATGTATTACTCTTTGCATCGTGATAAGAGATTGGGTTTAAAATGGATATTTAAAGTAAATGGTAAATTGGCAAAAAAATCACACTCACAAGTGGGGTCATCTGGTTTCCATGGTAACAGTTTCTCCGCAGCTACAATTTGTTTGAGATTTTTCCAAGTTCTACCTTTTTTACTAGCTGCTGCTTCTTGCCTGGCTTGCTGTAAAGTAAAAGTGGAAAACACCTGTAGAATTATGCATTATTATATTTTAATTGTATCTTTACAATAAATTAAGTAATATATTTATTTATTCCAGGTAATGCAAACAAGCTATGAAATGCTACTTTTACCTTCTTTATATACCAGATGTTAGATCTTTTAATACTGTCAGACAAACATAAAATACTGTATTTCGTAGTTTTCATAAATAAAACAAAACAAAATACACCCCAAAATCAAACAAATACATAAAATGCACATCTTAAGAGTACACAAGAGAAAAGTATTAAGATATTTAACAGAAATACTTCACTCAAGTCTATTACGCACTACAAAGTTAGGATCCTTAAAAACTGGGATCTTCTCAGTGCTGACATCTGGTGGGACCGTGAGAGGGCTAGGTCCTGGAGCTGGCGTGCTACATGCTGATGGAGAAGACGAGTTGGGGTTGGTGGGGACGGGCGTGGCTGGTGCCGTGGGAACTTCAGACTCCTCTGGGATCTCCTCTGTTGCTGTGGAGGCAGGCTGAAATATATATGTCATCGGTATCTGTTATATGTTACTATGAGGAACCATTCCCATAACCCTATCGTACTAGCAGGATCGATCTATCTCTGAGGGGAGTTAGATCTATCCTGCTTGTATGATAGATTTATGTGAACCCTGTCTAAGATATTTATTGTGTTCCAAAAGATTATCAATCAGCGAGTTGCCCAGTTCAGGAAATGAACATATTTCAAGGATTGTTTAATTTTTTTAAATCATTTTCTGATCAAGTAACATTAAACATGTTCAGTAGTTTTAATATTCTGCTTAACCAGTGTCTGGTTTCAAGAATAAGGCCACATTCAGAATCGTGGATTGACTAATCCACGGGTCAAATATGGTGACTCACTAAAAAGCTTGTCGTCTCATCAGCTACGTAATAGACACAATAGATTTCCCTTGGGGTAGTATTCAAGTGGGTCTGCCATATTTGACCCTCGGACTAGTCAGTCCACTGTTTTGAAAACAGCCAAAGATTTAAATGAAGAGTTAAAAGCCCCACGATTTTCTATTCTTAAAAAGTTTTCCAACTATTATGCACTTAATAAAAGTTTGACGGTGACATGAAGAAACAAGATTGATTCATAACATTAACAATGATGAACAATAGATATGCCAATACTATAATCTTCGTGTGTCTGTGCACATGTGAAAATCAAGTAATCACATTATTTGAAAGAAATGCATCTCAAGTCTTACAACAGTTAACATTGGCATCCGCTTTGCCATTTCTCCAAAAAATAAAATAATGTAACATACACTTTTCACCTATTTTGTGTGTGTAAATGTCATGTATTCAGAAATGAAACTGAACTGAATGGTAGTATTGTATTTTTTTATGTGGNTTCAACAATAATTCCATAAGATCTGCAAATCAGCCACAAACAAAAAAGTTATTCGTCGGAGGGGCGGGCGCATGCGTACAAGTGGATTGGGACGAGGAATCTGGATATTCAACGTCGACACTCGGAAGCAGTGGAACTGACCAATGACAGACGGACTTGAATTTGCAGCAATTGTGTTGCGGCAAATGAAATTTAAGTCAATGATAGGTTTGCTGCAGAAATGAGGCTAAAGAAAGTGCTCGTAATACAAACGGCATTCAAATGGCCATCAATAAGCCAACATTTCAAGATTATAAAAATGTCGGTTAATTGCAGGGAATTGAAAGCTTAAGTGCCATTTTACATGAGTGAGAAAAAAAGAGCAAATGCTATTGTAGGATCTCCGCGCCTGTGCATAACTTTGGCGTTGGCGGGCGTATTTACAGATTGGTTGTTTTTAAAATGCGAGTTTTTAAACGTAGCTATGTATTATGGAGATATAGGGATAATTTTTTATCTTTCAAGTTTGCAGGATTTCTGGAACTCCTGTCAAAAACATCCGGGTAACCGCATTTTCACGTTAAAAAGATTTAATGATGCACATACTGTAAGTCATAACGATTATTTAAAGGTACATACGAACCGAGCATAGGTGGAGCGTGGATTCCCAGTAACACATGTAAACCACTTCTACTAGATTCTTATATGGCTCAAATAAATTCGACATGCCAAGGGATAAACTGAATAGATCACTTGATCAGCCATAAAAGACCTTTAGACTGCTCCTTTCTTTAAATTTTTGGCTGTAAATTTAACCTACTTTCGTGACCTACTTTCTGTCCCATTGACATACAGCTTAGAATGCCAGCAGAAAAATCCGTTCAAACATCATTTTCGGGTAAAATTAAACAATGCCTTTTGGTAATTCTCTTAGTTATACTACTTGAAACTATATGCTGGCATTTGGTTGGTTTTTGTGACAAAAAATTGACTTTATATGCATCTTTAAGTGTCCAGTAACGCAAAGCGTCAAAAGGTATCGTGGGGAGAAAAGCAAAACAATGCAATTTTAATGTCTGTGTTTATTTATATTTATTAAAGAATTATTCTTATTATATGTTTTAGATAGGACTTAGCCATGTCTCAAATTTTCAACAAACATATAGTCTTTAATCAGTAGTAGTAGTAGATTTTTCCGAAAATGAAGAGTGCCAAATTACTTGTACTTCAGTCCCTGCTGAAAACTTTTTTTCTCAGAACAGATTCAGGTGTAGTTTTATCTTCCTCAAACTGATACGAGATATCTTTGTTTTGATTGAAACTTTTGAAAAAGAGTTAATAACCGAAAGGTCTAAGCACTTTGTGATATATATACTGACAAGTCAATGAAAACGCATCAGAAACTCTCTTGGACTTTTTTTTTTACCGAGAATCGATTCCAGCCATATAAATGAGTTCAAATGAACTTGTTTGGTCATAAGAGAGTGGGCTGACCACTATTTCATATTTCACATATTTCACACGAAAACTGTTATATTCTTAATGTGGCAAAGGAACTTAAAATGTTATCTGATAAATAAATGATGCGTTTTCATTGACTGTCAGTATATATGGAGTATGAAACTTACGAATATCATTCAATATTATTTTAATTTCATTTTCACCTTGGTTGATGCTGGGGAATCAAACTAAGAAAAGTGAAATAAAAATTCATAACAAGTGAACTTTTAAGAAAACGAACACTTAATGCTGAATTCAGTTAAGATAAATGTCAAATTTAAAATATTCGCATATAAGGAAGAATAAAAACTCATGAAATGATGAAAATTAGTTGTTATTTAATAACAATTACACGGTCAAATTCGTGAAAAGTGAAACTCAGGAGCGAGAATAAAGAGATAAGGAAAAGAACATAAGCCTTATTGAAATGATAAAATAAAAATAATCAAAAAAACATCTTTCCCAATACCGATTTTTAAAGTTAATAGAAAAGAAGCATAATTGACTTTGCGGATTTTATGAAAATAACAAGCAATTAGTTGCTTGACTATACCGGTCTAACTATACCGGACTTTTATGCAAAAGGTCATTTGCCGTGACCCACGAGAGCCTGTACAAGTACAAAAGGACTTATTTGAGAAGCCAACATGGACCGTTCCTACATAGATTCCTCTTTTACGATGACTTTCTTTGTTTTATGCTAAGATTTACTTTGGCTTCAACAATGACGACAAAGAGCACAATGGGACGGTTTTAGTTTTAGCAACCCCGCTATATTTCGTCCTATTCTGTGCACGCGGTGAAATTCTACATTTTCAGTATTAAATTCTTCCCTCGTAAAATCTCTCAGTACCCATTTGCAGTCCTCGCCCCCTTTTTCTTCTATTCCTTGGAAAATGAGATTGTCCGTCTTTGACCTCGCTTGTAAATCAACGTGGCGGCTATACTGGTTTTTCATCCGATCCCTTTTCAGGTGACGATTCTCCTTTTCAGTTTCCTTAAAGGGATAATAACTCTTCGTTTCGGCCAAAAAATGAATTTTCCTGGAGTAAACAATAATTTTCCCATACTTACCAATGATTAATGAATCCATTTTTACATTAAAAGTTAGTCCCTGGTTTTTTTCTAAAAAGTTTGGTTTTTTGTTAAAATCTCTTAAGAGATTTTAACAGAGTATAGCCATCAACAGAGGTCACGTGGTCTAAAGACAAGCTCAGATATCAGAATAATAGCTATAACTGACGTTTTTGTGGAAAAACAGAATATATTATATTTCTATGAGTTATTCACATTGTTTTTATTGTGAAATATAGATCTCATACGAAGAGTTATTATCCCTTTAAACTTGCGCTTTATTTCCCCCATTCTTTCGTCATATTCTTCACGTTTGCAACTTGAAACTTTGCCCATCTCATTGTCAGTTTCAGCAACATTTCAGCTTGGGAAGTATTTGACACCAAAGATGCCCAAAGTATATCTGCTCAAAGTTTCGCAGCTCAAATCACACACTTTTAGTGATTGAAAAAGGTAGACACGAAAATATTCCATATGAAGACAGACTTTGTGTTTTATGTGGGTTGAGAGAAGAGAATGAATATCACTTTTTACCAGAGCGTGAATTTTACAGAAATTTAAGAGAAAAATACTTTTCAAAAAGATATAACAGTCTCCCAAATCTCAATAAGTTTAGAGAATTAATTCGGCCTGGAATTGCTAATTTGTTGATTGGTTTAATGAAATTTGTATTCTATGCTTTCAAATTAGGAGCTGAATGCAAATTCTCCGCTTCGTTTATTAGTATTATTATTACTATTATTACAGACCAGGCCCGTAGCCAGCAATTTCAAAAGGGGGTTTTTTTTTCTGAAAAAGTGGACCTTTTCCCATAAAAACTTCATGTAACTAGATCAAATTTTACCCAGAGTGGACCTTTTCCCAGCAAAAGGGGCGGTTCTTTCGAACCCCCCAAACCCCCCTAGCTACGGGCCTGCAGACCATAAGTTATAATGCCTCAGCCAAACATTCAACTAATTTCAAATAATGAATAAAATTTTAATGGATGTGGGGAATCTTACTTATTAGCTAAATATAACACAAGGGCCTTCACACAAGTAACTATGATGATTTATTTATTTTGCCCCGTGTCAAATTTATTCCTCAACTGTTCCTTTATGGCAGATACATCACAGAGCATTATTACTGTAGTAAATTGTGTCTGGTGCACATAACACATTAAAAAAGTCAGATTCTCTTTTTGGTGCTTTCAGCTAATCACCGATTCAGTTTTGGGGTTGGGTGTCTTTCTCCCCAGAAGTGTTCTTTCTCTCAGTGATTGCTGCCTCTGAAAATCTCATTTACAGCCGACCTATTAAAGCTTCACATTTTGTCTTGAGTCTCTCGATCTGGTTTCTTTTCACTCTATTCTGACCAAAAATATCCTAATCCTTGAAATCCTTCAAGTTTGTAAATGGACTCTCAGCAATTTCCTTCCTGTAGTCACAATTTCGTTTAACTTCGGCCAATCCCAGCACCAGTTTCACCGAAACTCTCTCATGATGTTGTGCGTGTCATCTCAAATTATGTCTTGTCTCTCAAGACAGCAACTGGTTAAAGTAATGGATGTAAGATTATCTCTTTTTCATCTTACACGTAGTTCACGGTACAGTTGTATTAGCTCTCCGCAACGTCAATAATCCTGTAATGATGTCACTTGGCAACATTTTCACACGAGCATACTCATCTGCATTGGCATACCTTAACTTAGTATGCGGATCTCTGTAGTTAGCCTATAATAAATAAATAAATAAAAATTTATTAATAAATAAATAAATAAATAAATAAATAAATAAATAAATAAATAAATAAACACTTAACCTATATAGTTTCACTTATTGCCTAGTGATTCAGGAACCAATTTCAAGCAAACTCTGCTCCATATCTTTTTAATTGGAGAATACGTTTTACATACATTCTAGTATTATTTATTTGACAATTTTTAGCAAAGACATAATGAACAATATCTTTAAGCTGTACTTACCATCAACCCTGACAGATCTGAATATTTCTTAACTGGCTTAAAGGTAGGTGGGGCATCTATTGATCCATCTGATATTAAAAAAAAATAAAATAATAATAATAATAATAATAATAATAATAATAATAATAATAACAACAAATTACACTGACAGAAAATCAACTCTGAAAAACTGAATGCTGATTTAATCTTAGAAGACTTAACACAATGCATGATACTATTACCTGTTTTAAAATCTTATCAGCTGTTTTTAACACTGATACTCTAGTGTTTTATAAAGAAAGTGAACTTCAAAATCATCTCAGCTTAAAGCACATGTATTACTCTTTGCATCGTGATAAGAGATTGGGTTTAAAATGGATATTTAAAGTAAATGGTAAATTGGCAAAAAAATCACACTCACAAGTGGGGTCATCTGGTTTCCATGGTAACAGTTTCTCCGCAGCTACAATTTGTTTGAGATTTTTCCAAGTTCTACCTTTTTTACTAGCTGCTGCTTCTTGCCTGGCTTGCTGTAAAGTAAAAGTGGAAAACACCTGTAGAATTATGCATTATTATATTTTAATTGTATCTTTATAATAAATTAAGTAATATATTTATTTATTCCAGGTAATGCAAACAAGCTATGAAATGCTACTTTTACCTTCTTTATATACCAGATGTTAGATCTTTTAATACTGTCAGACAAACATAAAATACCGTATTTCGTAGTTTTAATAAATAAAATCTAACAGAAATACTTCACTCAAGTCTATTACGCACTACAAAGTTAGGATCCTTAAAAACTGGGATCTTCTCAGTGCTGACATCTGGTGGGACCGTGAGAGGGCTAGGTCCTGGAGCTGGCGTGCTACATGCTGATGGAGAAGACGAGTTGGGGTTGGTGGGGACGGGCGTGGCTGGTGCCGTGGGAACTTCAGACTCCTCTGGGATCTCCTCTGTTGCTGTGGAGGCAGGCTGAAATATATATGTCATTGGTATCTGTTATATGTTACTATGAGGAACCATTCCCATAACCCTATCGTACTAGCAGGATCGCTCTATCTCTGTGGGGAGTTAGATCTATCCTGCTTGTATGATAGATTTATGTGAACCCTGTCTAAGATATTTATTGTGATCAAGAAGATTATCAATCAGTGAGTTGCCCAGTTCAGGAAATGAACATATTTATAGGATTGTTTAAATTTTTTTAATCATTTTCTGATCAAGTAACATTAAACATGTTCAGTAGTTTTAATATTCTGCTTAACCCGTGTCTGGTTTCAAGAATAAGGCCACATTCAGAATCGTGGATTGACTTATCCACGGGTCAAATATGGTCACTCACTAAAAAGCTTGTCGTCTCATCAGCTAATAGACACAATAGATTTCCCTTGGGGAAGTATTCAAGTGGGTCGGCCATATTTGACCCTCGGAATAGTTAGTCCACTGTTTTGAAAGCAGCCAAAGATTTAAATGAAGAGTTAAAAGCCCCACAATTTTCTATTCTTAAAAAGTTTTCCAACTAATTTGCACTTTATAAAAGTTTCACAGTGACATGAAGAAACAAGATTGATTCATAACATTAACAATGATGAACAATAGATATGCCAATACTATAATCTTCGTGTGTCTGTGCACATGTGAAAATCAAGTAATCACATTATTTGAAAGAAATGCATCTCAAGTCTTACAACAGTTAACATTGGCATCCACTTTGCCATTTCTCCAAAAAATAAAATGATGTAGCATACACTTTTCACCTATTTTGTGTAAAAGTGTGTAAATGTCATGTATTCAGAAATGAAACTGAACTGAATGGTAGTATTTATTCATCAGTATTTATTCATCACATTATTAAAAAAAAATAATAATAAAGAAATAGCAGACATTTTTTCAATTATGTTTTGCATGCATGGTCTTATGACTTTGCCATTTTTTTCAGTCATAGGAAACTGCAGAAGGGCATAAATTTGTAAGGCAACAACAGATTTTCAAAATCTTGTCAATGTTAGGCTCACTCTCTCCACTTCTCACTTTCAAATACTCTGCAGGAATATTGTCAAATATTTTGAATTTGCTACAAATAAGTCCAATGAGACGCCCTGTGCGAATCTTCAAACCAGCAATTTTACGCTTCTTTTTCACATCCAGAGGGCATAACTGTATTTTTCCCGATGTAGTACCTGCCAATTCTGCTTGGTACAAATTAAAAGATTCGGCTGTATCAGTAGAAAACCTCTTGTCGATCATAACAAAGTCGCCTGGTTGGAAATTATCAAGCATTCCCGATTCTTCAGCAATTTGTCTATCCGAGGTTTCAAAGTTACAACTCTCAGAAACGCAAGTAACTGTGCCTTGGGGCGATATCCCTATCAGGTACTTTACTGTATCTGGACATGTGTTACTTGAAAAGCCACACACCTTGCTTATATGGGCATTAGGTTTCTCCACACTGAGCTCAAAGCTATCAAAAACAAAGAGAACCTTATCCCCAAAGTCTTCTTTGAAAGTCGCTGGCATTGAAGCTGTCAGTGTTTCCCTATCTGGCCACTTCACTATGAAACCCAGTCTTTGGTGAAGGAGATTGAGAGTGGAATAGAAATGTCTGTAGACTGTAACATGTGACACATCTAACTGATATGCAATGTCTTGGATGGTGTAATTCATTTTTAGTTTTATCAGGCATAACATGAATTGGGCTTCCTTTGTCAGACTTCTTGTTTCAGTCATGTGCGCTTCTACATAGTCAAAAACCAGTTTCAAGGTTTCGAAACTAGGCAAGCCTGTGTAAAAAGAAATTTTATCAGGATTGTTCTCGTATGCTTCAAAACTGTATAGACCATGCCGTCCGAAAGGTGGTTTGCTGCCTGCTTCTGCCACTCTAGCTCTGTTATCATTTTCAATATTTTCAATGTCTTTTGCAGTTAATTCAGTCTGCGTCTCTTTGGTATTACTTGTAGAATTGTGTATTTCTAAATTTGAATCTTGCGGTTCTACTTTAACTTCAACTTCTGCAATAAGTGAGGGATCTAAACTATTAATGCCATTGTGGCTGTCCTCTGCAAATGTTCCAGATTTCGAAGCAAGTCTAGGTTTCTTTGGGCTTGACAGTGATGGAGCTGCATCTGATAATTTCTTCCTTTCCTTGCGCTGAACGGCACGCTCGTATCGTCTCATGGCAGATTCTGGGACAGTACATGCTGTGTAGCCCAGGTTAAGTGTTGGTAGCCAGGAAGGATTTAATCTATCGTGCAGATATGCTTTTTCTCCTGAAAAGAGCAGAGTAATGTTTTCTTACATGCAATGAAGACCACAGTCGGCGAATAGCTGCAAAGCTTATGTTTCCATTCAATTTATAACCGACATGAAATAAAATCTATTGTATTGTATTGTAATGATAATGAAGGTAACAATTAACTTTAACAATAAACTACTGCAGATTCTAGTATTTTCATTGATTAATGGTGAAATTATATGCATTCTGCATTGCACTAGTCTCAAGAAGACCACAGCGGGTAACAAATATTTATGACAGAGCAACATAATAATGGAGGTGGGGGGATATTGTACATGTACTTTGCAAACGTACCAAACAAAGTTAAAGATAATTATTATATCATGATACTAGTACACTTACCATCTACAAAGTGTTTAGCGCAAAGCGTGGTTCGATCCCACTTCTCCTCCGATCTGATGTCCTTCCTATTTACTGCCGCCTTCCATAACCGCCGCCTCTCTTCCGATAGTCTCCGTGTCTCTTCCCCTTGGTTTTTGATAATTCTGGGGATTTTGTAAAATCGAAGACCTTTTTCTTTATTACTGTTACTTGGACAACCAACGATACCACATATTCGCATGATTCTTTGCTAGGATTTAATGCGGTAAAACGCTGCAACACCTCTGCTGATCTAAAGTTTTTGCAGTTGCACGCTTCACTACAGCGTTTTCTCATTGCCTTGCTAAACAAGATGGCGGGTACCGGAAGTGAACTTATCTTGATACTTCCGTGAAAACAAAGGTGTAGTAACTACTAATTTATAACAAAAGCACGACGTACAATAAAAAAAAAATGTTTAGAACAAATAATATCAATATGATTATATACACTCCAATATCTCGGAGTCTTTCTTTTAACCTTCGGGTAAGGGGGAGGGGGGTTAGTAGCCTCTTCAGATGTACCGATAACCCCCTCGATCTGTCTTCATATTTCCTTCCTACATCCAAATTTCGAGGTGAGAAACCACCATATCAAAAGATTCAGTGAGTTTTTCACACGGCCAGTTAAATCCTTATCTAAGAAAATCAGGGACGTCTGGATTTTTGACAGAAGATTTAACGTGTTCAACATTTCAAAGCTATGCATCTCACTCAAAACAGCAATGAAACCATGTTAAAGTGTCTGGGGAGAGTTAAAGATGTCCCTAGACCTACCGTTCCTGGTCGTTTCTTTCTCGTGCTTGGGGTTGCTGACCCAGGGCTGACAGAACGTTTGGTGCTTGCAGCGCGTCGCGGTCTTGTGGAAGTTGCCATATTGTAAACAACAACGATTGCGATAGAGAAGACAACGCAACGCAATGAATGTGTAAAAAAAAAAAAAAAAGTAAGAAATTTTATGAATGAAATATGACTGAAACGTGTACGTGTCTTGTTATAAAACCATGAAAGGAAAAAAGAAACCCAGGGGCGGATCCAGGATTATTATTATTATTATTATTATTATTTTTTTTTTTTTGGGGGGGGGGTCCGGTTTTTAGGAATGATCGACAGGCCGCGGATGCGAAGCCGACCCTCGCTCCCCCCCCCCCCCCAAATGGGTGGGGTTCAGGGCCCGTACGTTATAATGCCCTGAAAATTTGGTATTTTAGGGGAAAAACGGTGCCATTTGATACGGTTTAGAACTATAATTCAGTTAGTAAAAATTCTAATTTCAAGAAGTGATCATTGGTGTGATATTTTTTCGAAAGGCCTACTATCATTGTCACCAAATACTTAAAAAAAAAAAAAAAAAAAAAAAAAAAAAAAAAAAAAAAACAGAATTGTGTTAAGAGTGGATCTTACTGCAAGTACTGCTTAACCTGCCACACCCACCATGCATTGGATTTGAAGAAAATAAATAATTATAAGTTACGCCTTTTACTAACTCGAACATTTTAGAGCAGTTGGTCGTTGCAATTGTATTTAGTGCATTATGTCTATCTCTGAAACCTCACCAACCTCACAAAAATTGTCAGTGTCGCACAAAAGGACGATATTCAGTTGCAGTAAATCTTTATCATGTAAAATAAACAAAGCCACGTGATAAAAGGGTAATATTTCAACTCGGAATGCTACTGTAATAACATTGTAACACCTACTGTCATTGGTCGCTTTTCGTGACAGCGGAAGAATATTGTCACCTGCGACCAATCACAGCATGACGTTTTGACACACTAGGTTATAGATGTCCGTGCTTCGGCAAGGGGCGATGTAAATTGGGTCATGGGGTTTGTTTCGCTATGAAATCACCTTGTAGACACAGTAAAACGCCCATCGGACGTGTATTACAGGCAATGCAAGCAAATTAGATACACGTTTAACCTCTGAGTTATCACAGGCAGGGAAAAAGATACAGGCGAGCGTACTTCTGAGTGTGGTCAAGTCACATTTAACAGGTGGTTGCCTTGAAATGCAGAACTGAACCTACAACAAGCGACTTATTTCCTGGGTACAGCTATGTAATCAGCTCGTGCAAGTATGTGATTTGTATTCTACAGCTGGTATACTTCATTGCCTGTCGTCAGATTATAGCCATTCCAGGTAGAACATATACTTTTTTCTGTCTGTCGGCTGTCACTCATTTGCTTTAAAGCGGTTTTGTGGAGACACTTTCTGTGGACTTGTAAACCAGCAGACTTCACTAGGATTACACGTTTTAAGTTGTATTCGTTTCCTCAAATCTCTTGATGATTTCAGTGCATAGGACAGTATAAACACTGCACAGATTGTAATACATAGCAAAGAGTTTCTTGTGCCCTTGTTATTTAGATATCAGCGTCATTATTCTGCAGAACAGCTGTTTTTGATTCTGCAAAATTGGACAGTCAATATCTATTTCATACCATGTAATAATGCCTACAATTTAGATCAGTGTTCTTACTGATGCTTGTAGTATTAGTCCATTAGATTCGAGACCCTTTACCAGGGTATATAATACCATTTTTTTAAAATGGCAACTGGGCGTGGGTCTCACACATATGTTCTTGTCCTCTATGATTACGACTACGTCGCTGACGATGGAAGTCCAGTTTCAATAAAGAAAGACGAGGAATATGTTTTGCTCAAGAAAGCTAACAAAGACTGGTGGCATGTCGCTAACCTTCACGCGAAGGCGAACGGGGAGAAGCCTTTTTACGTGCCTGCGGCCTATGTAGAAGAAATATACAAAAACGTGATATCAGTAGGACCAGGTGAAATACGAGAAACGATTGAGGATGTTCAAAGGGATGCTACAGTCACAGTTAATGAGGACCAAGTAACAACTATTAAGGTTGGATATGATCAAGAACCAGAGCCAGATTATCCTGGTGACCCCCCTGACTTGCACCCAAAGACCCCAAAACCTAACGAGGATTTAGACAATAACAACATGAAGGATTTCAGTTTTCAGGAAGATTCGGACTCAGTGAGAGTTAAACAATCACCCCAAATCGTGCGGCAGAAATCGGCGCCCCCTGAGGTTCCACAAAAACCCCAACGAAGGTATGAAGACCCGACCTATGCTAATTTAGAGGAAGTGAGAGTGGCGGCGGGGATGGACAGACCATTGTCCCAAGTGTCACAGTCGTCAGATTTGTCACAGGTAAGGGTGGTCATCTTAAGAAAGGGACTTTATCATTATTGAGTATGCATTTTTTTTCCAACTTAATTTTTGATTCTTTCTTCTTTCAGAAACTTGATGAGGAATGTGAAAGTGATGCAGTTTGTGTAAACATTTTATTCCTGTTTCTTTGTCCCATTGCAGAAAATGAAAGTACTGTACTTATTACTTGTATCTGCTGTCCTATTTAATACCTGTAGTTATTATTCACTGTTAAAGTGTCAGTTATTCGAGTATTTAACTGGTCAGTTTACAGTTACGCATATTTGACATGGGGGATAGAGAGGAGGGGGGGGGGGGGTTAAGGCTTGGAGGGGGGATTCACTGTTAATTTTTCAGATTACATAAAGGAGTTTTTTCCACTGTTCTGGACCCTGTACTAAGTACTAGTACTGTGACAGTTGTCATGTTTGTAAGTGTACATGTGCTGGATAAAAACACATGTTTATAGTATAAACTACATGTTTTACAAAATGTCCAGGTTTCTTTTGACAGCTGTTTTGAAAACAGGACTTGTTTACTAGTAGGATTCCAAAGACAAGGGAATTATCCTCTTTTAGACCCCATTCCCAGAGATTAGATCGATCTACTTTAGATCGACCTAACTCCCTGGGGGTTCACGCTAAATAGCTGTCAGCCGAGCGGGCACAAAAGTTAATTACCCCCTTACAGATTGTAGTAGGCGGGACGGACATTTAAGCCGGATTATCTGACAGTAATCTAGTGAGACTCCGCGTGGGGATAGATCGATCTAAAAGCTCTGGGAATACGCCCTTAGTCTAAGGAGGTAAAATTGAAAAAAATATTTGTAAAGCTGCATTTATTTGCAAGCTCATGTACTAGTACAGACACTGGGCAAAAATGTAAATGCCCCTTGTGAATTATTTTTGTAGCTTGTAATGGGCTATGAACATTAATCTCTAGGTACATGTATATAAATAAACATAAACGTAACATAATGCTGATATCATTTTTAAAGTTTTGAATGGAGCATTTATATTTTTGCTCAGTGTATATAGCCTGTGCTCAAGTACCAGTTAATGCTTGACTTTGTAGAGGTAGTCATTTAAATGACCACTGTATCACACTAACATAAGACCCTTGTGTATTATAGGGCACTAAGATGAACATAAAAGTACACTTAACATACATGTGGTGTTGTTCAGGTGGGAAAAAACAACAACAACAAATACACATGCATAATGCCCCATTACCTGAGCAAGAGGCTCATACTTGGAGTTAAGTTGTACATGGTCAGTCACTGGTCAATGCGTCACATGAAGTCCAGATGGTCATCATGATTAATGGTCACTCACCATGGCATACAGTTTATTATAGGCAGTGGGCAATATGGTGGCTAATATATATATATATATATATATATATATATATATATATATATATATATATATATATATATAAAGAGAGAGAGAGTTTAATGTATAAAATGATCATGTGTGTTCAGACAGGTTTTATTTCTGATTATTTCTGGTCTAAATTGGACATCCTGATTAGTCACCCTAGTGTGCTTTGGATATGTCTGAATCTAAATGCATTTCTCCATGCCTTCTCCTTTATAATGCGATCCAGCTTTGCCTCAAACTTCACAAATCCTTTTAAGATTATTTCTTGGTATATACTGCTATGTATGTTAGACAGACATTGTCATTCTGAATTATATTTTGTTTGAACTGACATGAAGTAGGTCAGACTTTGAAAGTTGAAGGTCCAAAGATGATATCAAGTAGAATATTTCTGTCCTTTACACTGGCAAGAATATGCAATATAATATTTGCATCCATTGCCATTGTCTAATGGTCAACGTGACCTTCTCATTAAATTCAATTCTCATTAAGGGTTGAAAAGGTGCAGTGGGGTCCCGGGTAGAGAGGAGACTACAAGATATTTAGGGAAGAGGCATTTTTATGAAACTTAAATAATTATCCTTAAAAGTGACAGCCTCCCACTCCACTTAGAGTGCTAGAAAAGAGAAAACAGGAAAGGTCAGGAGGGAGAAATCAATATAGTAAAATATGGTGACAGCATTAGTCGCTGTTGTCTTGAAATAGCAGTTCTGATAACAATACAGATGTAGCCATGTTCATGGAATATTAGTGTCAGTCAGTAAACAGTTTGTTCTGTTCAGTAGTCAGGACACAGTTAGCTGTATAATTCTGGGTAAAATTGGTTCCACAAAATACATTCATACTGAAAATTGGTGTTAATTTAAAAGATGAATCATAGCATCAATTCACAATGGGATTTTGCCCTGTTTTATAACTAGTCAAATATGGCTAATGTTTGGAACCAGTGATTTTTTAAGGATGAACACATGGTTCAAGGAACGTCTATATCTTCTTAGCCCACTGGAAAATATTCCAACAATTTGCTTATCATTATTTCAACAGCTATTCATTTCATATCCTTATTTAATTATGTGCCAGTTACATAAGGATATATATAACACTTTTTATTTCTTCTGTATTGATATTTTAGACCTGTTAATTTGTAGATAACATTTCACTTGATTTAATGTCACTATTTTCACAAAAACATGCAAATTTTGGCAGTTTTTCATTGATCGCATCCTAAAATTTGATTGGCACGAAGTTATCAATTTTCAGTCCAAAGATTTTCTTGTGAAACCAACACCAGGAACTAAACTTTTAACTGCTTGAACTAAGTACTGAACAATTTTGAATGGTTCAACCATAACCTGTTGTAAGAAGAGTGATAGACTAGTGGTTCTCTTCTTTAAATCAGAGATGAAAGTTTCCAACATATTTTATCTGGAAGTCTGGTTAGTTACGGAATAATTATTTTGAAAAATCTGGAGGACATTGGGTGTTAGACACCCCCCCCCCCCCAATCAAGTGGGTGATGCCATATTTGATCCGCAGATCAGTTAGTCCACAGGTCAACTTGTTCTGAATGGGCCCATAAACTGCTTGTGCAAAAAACCATGATATCGTCTGTGAGCATTTTTTTGAACATGTTTACTGTTATCTGTGGCCATGAAGGTTGAAAGTTATTTTGTCTATAATCTGCTGTGTTTATCTGATCTATGTGCAGTCAGTGGCCACATCTGTGGAAGATTTACACAGGTTTTTGGAGAACATTTATTGCAAACTACGGATTTTAATTGTACCACCAGCGTTAGCGCTGGCGGTACACATGGTTTCGGTCCCGTCCGGATCGTTCCGCCGGCTCCGCCGGCTCCGCCGGTTCCGCCGGCTCCGCCGGCTCCGCCGGACGGCTACCGTTACCGCTTCTCCTCCTAGACGGTAAGGCCCCCCATACCCATCTCATGGATTTAGGTCACCTATAATCTCAACTCGTTCCACGTAAAATTTGGGCTTTGTCGGTATT